AGTGAACATTAATCTTCAGTGGAGCCTAGTTTTAACTCTTATTGCCCTGAAAATAAGCCATCGTGCATAACAGAAAATTGAAGTTGAAACCAGGAAAATCCCAATACTCAGGGAAGCATACTTATATAGTAAAAATATTCAAATATATCAGAAATCGAAGGTTTACCATGAAGAAGAAGGAAAAAGTGACAGATGGGCAGGGCTTTAGTTGTTACTACATTTTATTTTAGAAAGAGATCAGAAGCAAATATGATAAAATGGTAATACAGTTAGCCCTCTGTATCCTCGGGTTCTGCATCCATGATTCAACCAACTGTAGATGGAAAATATATATATTTTTTAATTCCAGAAAATTCCAAAAAGTAAAACTTACTTTGCCGTGCACTGTCAACTATTTATATAGCATTTACAATGCATTAGGTATTAAAAGTAATCTAGAGATGATCTAAAGTATACAGAAGAATGTGCATAGGTTATATGCATATACTGCCCCATTTTTTACAAGGGACCTGAGCATCTGTGAATTTTGGTATCTTGCAGGGTCCTAGAACCAATCCTCCAGGACACTGAGGGAAGACTGTACCTATTAAATCAGGTGGTGGTATGTGGTATCCTTTACATCAATTTTTAAATGTTCTGTATGCTTTAAATATTTTATAATTAGAACAGTTTTTTTAAAAAAGAATGTGAAGACTTACATAGCAAGACTCTTGAAAGCTAAATGGTATTCTCTGACGTGAAACATGCAGAACACCAGATGGTCCAGTAGCCCTAATTCTAGAAATAATCTCCACGTGGTAAGAGTGTGTCTAAGCCTAGCCTATACTCAGCTTATCGGAAATAGGGTTTTAAGCATGGGACAAAAATTCAGCAGAAAAAGGAGGATCAGGGTAGACTCCTAGAGTTGGTTTTAAAATGATTTAATTTGTATCATATGTGGACAATCAGCAAGAGAGAAATCCAGGCAGGTTAAATGTTTATAAGCTCTGTAAAGCACAGCTAAGGGTCTGTAGCCCCCAAACCACAGCCAGCCCCAGCAGCTTTCGGGTTAGCCCCGCCCCTTTGCTGCTGCCTGTGGGTGACTGAGTGCTCGACAAACCACCAGCTTCTCAGGGCGTGGTGGGCCCTCACAGAGGCATGATGGGAAGAGGGGGCGAGGCTGGAGGAGAAAAGAATAAGAGGCTGCAGGTGAGGAAAAGGCAGAGCCCATGACATTTTACTGTTAAGCCTGAACAATGTACTTTAGCAAGTATGCAGCGTATGTAAAATTTCAGAAATATCATTTCCTTCCAGTAAATGTAAATGCTCTCCCACTGACGTTCCTGCGGAAATGGAATTTGGGGAGACTGTGGGACACTCTCCACTATACCTCCCTCTACTGGAAGGGAGGAGGAGGGAAATTCCTTAGCTGCTCCCGTGGCTCACACCCGCTCTGGAGGTTTACAGCCTTGACTGGATCCACCCGCACTTTCACTTTCTCTTCTGTAGCAGTTTACAGCGGAGAGCCAACAGAACTCCTATGTTAACTGTTAGGTATGCAGTTATCATAGAATATTGAATGTTTAGGATAGGTGTTTTCTTTCTTCTGCCTTCTACCTTTCTCCTTAATATCCAGGGATGCTAACTCAGAGATTCTAGAAGAAATTATAGAGTCACCACAACCATCATCTTGAAAATAAGTATCTAATAATCAGGAAAAATACATATGTTTACAAAATAATATACTCAGACAAGTCTATATAACCTATGTACTACAGTTTTACATAGTAGAAATGGATGCAAAGGAGAAAGGTAAAGGTTGATTCCACACTGCACCTAGATCAGCGGTTCTAAAACAGGGTGATTTTGTTCCCCTACCCCCAGGGCATTTGGCAATATCTCGACACATTTTTTGGTTGTCACAACTGTAGGGAAGCTATTGGTACCTAGTGGGTAGAAGTCAGGAATGCTGCTGAATATCCTACAATGAACTGGAAAACCCTCCAAAACATAAAGTTTTCTTGCCCAAAATACCAGCAGTGATGAGTCTGAGAAACCCTGATGCAGCTGCATCTGTCCCACTGCCTCTCTCCCAGCCTCACGGGGAGCGCGTGCTTAGCTAACTGTGCAGAAGACAGCACAATTGTGAAGATCCTCTTGATAAACATACACACGGAGAGTAAGTCCTTCCTCCGCCTAAATTTTACAGGCAAAAAGGATTTAAATTCCCTTCACAAACTGAAAGGTCACCCTCAGCTATCCTTCATAAAAAAGACTATTAAAGGTGATACTGGGAAAGCGCTCTGGAAAAAAATATCTCATGACTGTTTCTTTCCCTCCTCCCCATCCTTCTGATTAACAGCTTCTAAGATAAATACAATTACTTCCTTTAACTATTACAAAGAGCAGAGTCATTTAAACTCTCAGTGAATGATGACAGGCAAAGAGATCCATAACAGTTTGTAATAGACTCTCTAAACTGTTATTTGTTTTCTTACAACTGGATTAAATGCTTAATAAATGTATGTTGAATTAGTGAATAAAAAATAATTGGGTGAAACAATAAAGCTGTAGCTCAAGTTTAATAATGACTAATCTTACACATTTATATTTTGCCTTCTTCTATTATTATTAATAGAATATATATCTATTCTTCCCACTGAGTATTAAACTCCTTGAAACGGAAACCATGATTTGACAAGAATATCTAATGTCCATTAGATTGTTTTACTTCTAGACTATTTTGGAAATGTGAGGCAGAAACACTACATGAGAAGGATGTATGAAGGCTGAGCATAAATAGTTACATAAAGTTTTTGTTTAGGGAATACATTTACAACAACATTAATGTCATGTATTTTTTAGTATCAAGAATTGTTACTTAGCCACAAAAGACTGGAGCCATAGACATAAACAGTTCATGAAAACACCATAATGCATACTTTTTGTATAGACAGTCCAGAAAAGACTCCCATTCTTTCTCTTAATGTTAACTCTTCATTTAATTACAATTGGTGTCCACACTGATAACGTGTCTTTCAATTATCCTTATCACAAGTACACATATAAACAAATACACTATTGATATACAGGACACACAGACAGACGTGCTAAAAAGATAGACGCTGGATCTGACTCCCTAATACCTGGTACCCTTTGCCCTTGACCCTCTCTCTCCCTTGTTTTCCAGAGTGATAATTTTCTGCATCTTTATCACCATTGTTCTCCCATGTCCCGGCCCCTCGGTCCCTGCCCCCAGCACCCAGAGGGCACACGTTCCATATGAGTTCAATGAGCAGGAGTCTGCTGTTGGTTAACGAGCCACCAGTCCCATGAGGAAGAACCTCTAAGAGCCTCAGTTTTCTCACAGGCATTATTACACTTTTTACCTCCAGGGCTGTTATGAGGGTTAGAAAGGATGATCACTTGGCAAATCTTTAGTAAGTGCTAATTCTCTTGTTTATCATTGCCCCTCTTTCCTCATCCAGATTCTAAAGGACTTGAGACCATAAGACTGTGGCTAAAATATCATATATACCCTGCCTAACACCTTGAATAGGAAAGACATCTTCCATTCCACACGACAGCTACGACAGGAGACTTACGATGCAAAAAAGGCTGGTAAGACTATACACAATATTACCTAAGAGGTAAGGAATCACAGTACTTTGATTTTTTTGTTTGTTTTGAAACAGGATGAGAAATTAGAACAGCTTGGGCCTAGAAGTGGGGTACGAGGAGAGAAGGGAAGCAAAATGCAAAGCTGGCAAATCAAAGGCAAATTTCCCCGACAACACAACTTTACTGAGGGTCTGTCTCATTGCCCTTCACCTATTCACAGCAAATCAACAAAAAGACCGAGGCCTTAAACAACAAGAGCCTACTATATAGCACTGGGAAATAAATTCAATAGCCTATAAGAAACTTACATAATGGAAAAGAATATGAAAAAGAAGATATATAACTGAATCACTGTACACCTGAAACTAACACATTGTAAATCAACTATACTTCAATTAAAAACTTTATTTAAAAAAAAGAGAGAAAAAAAGAAAAAAAATAAACCATGCCCAACTTCCCTCACCCCGCCAAGAAAAAAAAGACTGAGGCCAAAAGAATGTCATATCCTAAGAGACACACACACCTTAGTGGGAACTGAGTTGAAAACCTTTTGCCAAAGCTTTGAATTACGGAACAAATGAAAATGTTTATAAATGATGAAACTGTAATTATTGACTGGCTTATCTGTAAAACTATTACCAGTCTATAAAACATGACACCATATTATGAAAATAAAAACCTCCAATTACCTTAGAAAAAGATATTCTCGATTAAATAAACAGAGAAAGAACCTGAAGATGTAGACGAGGCTCGGTCAAGTACACCATAGCGTGTCCTGAAGGAGGGCATCCCCAGGCCCACCATATGTGGACGCACAGTTGCTCCGGTGGAAGCCCTATGGTACACCCAGGCGCTCTGTGGAACCCCTGTATACATTTTCTCATTCAATCTCTGGGAGACTCTATGAAGTACAGACCGTCACCGAGTCTGCATTTTGCACATTCAGGTACTGAGGTTTAGAAGCGCTGCATAACCTACTCACAGGCACACAACTTGTAACAGAGCTGGATCTGAACTCATGATCTTAAGTACTATGCTATGTAATCCATACACTCAGTCGTCTGAGTGTTTTTCACTAGATCTCCAAAGAGCTGAAATCAAGCACTCTCTCAAAGACTTATTAAAGTTTTAGGAAGCATACAATTAAATACATCTTTCAGATAATCAAGAAACAAGAAAAGTCTGTCAGTTAATATTGAGATAATTTCTACTAAATGGAAATATTTACAGATTTTTTTAAATCTGCCACTTTATTGCTAAGAGACACATTTCTATTAAAATATAATAATCATGTGAACATAGGAGCAGAGGCAAATTGTAGTCATGGGAAGCATTCCTTCCTTTTGCTCCTAGGACATCAAATCTTCCAAAACGCACATAGAAAGACACCACAAACTTACTTTGACCTGAGGGTAGGACTTCTTGTTCTTTTCACTAGATGCACCAGGGAGTCCACCGTGGGAGGGGCCTTCGCACACATAACGGAAACGAAATCCTCTCTGCAAAGGTGAACACAGAGCGAACGAGTTTCAGAAATACTTACTACACATTACCAGGACAAAATTATACACAAATTTTAAATTTCTGTGTATATCAGAGGAGAGAGGAGAAACATAAACTGTGAAAGAGGACTGTAAATGAGAACCACTTTTCCCATCATCTTATTATGAACATTGATGTTAACTGATGTTTGTGCACTTGGCTGTGGCTCAAACGCTAGGTCCCTAGCCCTGCGGAACCTCTCCTGCTGTGCTAGATGGAGAGTAACGGCTGCAGAGCTGTAAGCCTTGGACTCTACATGCTACAGCTTGTCTGTATCAGAGCTTCCTTGTCTCAAATTGCTGCCAAGCTCTGAAATTGGCCATATGACTCAAAGTTAAGCTTCTTTGACTCTTACTTAAAGGAATCCCTTTATCTACTCTGATTATAGTTGGTTCAGGAGAGAATACAGAAATGTTTTGTTAAATATATCACATCAGTGTTGTAGACTACACCCCATGCTAGACCCCGCATCTGTCAGCTCCTCTCAACAGCTCAGAAGATAAAATTTTTGCTTTAAGATTATCAATATTGTCAAACTCAAGCTGGATATACACACTGACCTGAATGAATCCAAAACCAGAGTCCCTTTAAATATTATTAACTCAAAGAGTTTTCAGATGTAGCAAATCAGTTTAGAGTTAACTAGAAGTCTTTACCGTGTGAGCTATTAAACACCTAAGTCCCACGGTTTTTAACCTATACAAATAAGAAGATTGGACAAGACCATCTTCAGAGTCTATTCCACTTCTGACATCTTATAATTTACAAAGCTAACAATTATAAATGTGCATATTTATATATAAGGAATAAAACAAGAATAGTTAAGAGAATGGATCCCATCATCATATTAAGGGAGCTTTCAATGTTCTTCCTGAAAGACTCCATCAATTGGTGGTAGTGTTAATAGTTTATAACTGTACGGTCACTTGATCGGATGGTTTTCCTTTTTCTCAAATTCACCTTTTAGTGAAAAGAATATGTTAATATATTTTAAAGGACATCATCATTTTTCATTTATTTTTATTGCGGAGCTGACTTCACATAAACAGCATTAGATCCCGAGGCCACCAGAAGCGCCACACCCGTACTGCTTGCTGATGGGGGCTTTCTGCCGTGCACACTGCACAGAGCCCGGCAAACACAAAGGTTTTGACAGCTCTGAGCTCATGGAACAATGTAAAATTTCTGCCTTCTTTAGATTGCACTGCATTTCACTATGCCTCACAGGGTCTTAAAAGCAAGCTGAGTGGTCCAGGGGCCCTGAACTAACTAAATCTCTGGAAAGCATCTGGAATTGCTTCTAAATTCTCTGAGAATTTTCTGATTTCCAAAGAAGATCAGTCTAAAGCATATTTCATGGGATGAGTAAGGCCTGAAGTAAATTCCCCAGTAGGGGAAATGCCTCAAGTCACACATGGGTCTGGGGAGTATGATCAATTATCAAAGTGGAACCGAAAACAACTCTTGCCTCTGGCTCCTCAGGAGGTCCCAGACCTAAACACCTGGGAGGTAAAATGAGTTATTTAGAGGCAATTCTCCTCTCTTCTGCTTCTCACAAAATTTAAACTAAAAAATAAGTTACAGATTCAGCCCTATACCTTTTGTAGGCAAAGGTTGTTGGCTTATTTTTAATAATTCAGTGAAATTTCTAAAAGTATGAAAAAGCAACCGCATATGCAACAGTTAGCCTGTAGAATCTAACCATAAAGGTAGAGATTTACTTGACTGCTAATCAATTTAAAATACAACTTCAGTTTTTAAACAGCATTAGGTAATTGGCACTTAATATGCAACAGGACTAGACACGCTGAAGGTTACGAGTCTATGCTGTGACTCATCTCTGTCAGAGCTGGGGAAACTGCGGCAGAGACCCGAAAGAAAAAAAGAACATTTTTCTAGATTTTATTTTAAAACCTTAATAAAGTAATTCACTATCTTTAATCACAAAATTTCTTTAGGACAGTTGGAGAAATACATACTACACATATACTTTTACATTTTAATAGGAGTGGCGTCAAATAGAGCATGAATAAAGGGACATGTCCCAAAAGCTTGCTTATAGTCTGAAAAACAACAGATAACATTCATGATTGGATGTAAGTACCTAAACTTCTATGTAAAGGAATTTGTAACTTAAAGATAGAAATTTATTACTGCTTTTTTTTTTAAGGAAGATAGGATGTCTTCAAATGCATAGTCAATGCATTTCTGATTCTAAATATTTGAGATTAAAGGTTTGCCAATCCACAGCCATTCATCTCAGTAACTCCATTTGCTTAAAATGAGTCATCAACCTCAAAGGCAAGGCTACATCCATCCGGTCAGAAAGTCTGACTTACATACCACCTTCTTACTTTCACTGGAGTCAGACATCAAAATAATATCAGTTTGGTAAGAAAACACATTGTTTTACTCAGATGTGCTTTTATGTATGCACATGGAGTGAATTGAATTTTGAATTTTGGATATAACATGACCCATCCTTCAAGTAAATCATAAATGTCAATTCTTCCTTATGACTACTGGACCCATGATAAGAAACTGCACTTAAGAAGTCTTATTGCAGTGCTAGGCTTATAAAAATGGGTATTTGAAAAACATGTTTTGTTTAGTATGCAGACAAATAAATTTTAGTTGATTTCTCAGTTTCACAGATTACCCAGATCTTACAAGATAGGAAACTTCCCAGGAGGCCAGACCACTGCATAGAATGTTAGGAGATAAACTTCCATTGGCAGGGCCTTTGAGAGAACAGATGGCCGCCCGTGAGAAGTCACTGCTGTGGAATTGGACGCAGAGGTAAAACAAAGGAAAGTCATGTCGGCAGCCTGTGGAGTCAGCATGTGCCACCTGCAAGCGATAGAGCAACGACCCGAAGTGTCATGTGGCATTCCTGTCCCCATACCAAGAACTTTCATCTAAGTTCAGCTGCATAAAGACTGTCTATCTGGTCACAGTTAAGATAGATACTTTACATTATGACCAAAATCCAAATACATATATATTGCCATGACTATAGTAACCCACAACAGATGCTTTAAATTCTTGACCTAGTCAGCATTTGTTAAGTGTTACACAATGCAAAAGTGTTATACTCTACGTACCCGAGCTACCGAAAACATTTAGGAAAGGTACTGGGTGATATAACCGCAAGAGAGCAGGCACACACATCCTCAGTCTCACACAGATGTGGTAATAAGCACATCCATTTAGAGGTTTACTGACTTTGTCCTCATTCTGCAGAGGACTACACCATTACTTCCACCCCTTAACGACTGAAATCTCCTATAGGCAGATATTAAAGATTCTCTCCTCTCCTCTTTCATAGCACTGGTCCCATCCAATTTCCAATAAATATTTACCCAAGGGGGCATGGTGAGGAGGCCCCTTCAATTCCCAGGTATCTTCTACAGAATCTACTAGTAAGAGGAAGAGCCTGACAAAATAAAATGCCCCTCTTCTGACACCAAAGAGGCTGAGTATAAAACTAACCCTGGAGAGAAGAGGACTCAACTGTCCATCCCAATACTTTATCTACACCCCACTGACACTTTTAGTGTCTTAGGCTACACGTTCCAAAGACAGAAAAGGCTGGAGCTCCCAAGGAGGGAAGAAGGCTAAGAAGCACTGTGTGTGCGCAGACACGGCTGGTGGATGAAACTCGGTGTATGTGAGCTGCATGCACAGGTGTTTCCTTATAGATGAAAATGAATGGGCATAACGCCCCTCCTCGGAGTGGCTGGTAAGCAAAGTTGGTGGAGACAGTGGGATATGAAGGATCTATGATTAACTAAGCATGACAGGAGGCTCAGGACAGTCTGAAGAATGACTAAGAGAAATGTAAAGTGGATAAATACTTTGGCAGGTTGTTGATCTTCTAGATAAGGTACTTCCTTCATAAAATTCATTAATATTTTACTCAGTGCTCGAGATATTAATGTTAGACTTATGGATCCCATATATAAAGAGAAAGTCCCACCCCTTTAATCTTACCTGTTTAGGTTGCTCTAATATTTGAAGGTATGGGCCATCTGCTAAAAACAAAACAACAAACAGAAACCAAAAGAAACTGTGAGGCTTCTCAAATTTGGTAAAAAAAATATAAAGCAAATGATAAAATTGAAATTATGTGTTTAAATAGAGGCTTCAAATCAATGTTTTAGCTGAAATTCCAAAAGGATATATCTTCTTTGTTTTAATATTAAATTTACCTTTATTTGAATAACAGTTTTACACCGTTAGAGAACCACACGATATAAACGTCTGTTGACTGGTGATGGCACACTGCACAACCCAACAAAAGGCATGATGTCCAGCAAGAATTAAGACATCAATAGCCTTCACAGCCATGTCTACTAACAAAGCTTTATTTTTTAAAAATTGATTTATTTTGTTTTTGGTTTTTTTGGGGGGGGGTAATTAGGTTTTTTTTTTAATGGAGGTATTGGGGATTGAACCTGGACCTTGTACATGCTAAGCATGCACTCAACCACTGAACTATGCTCTCCCTACAACAAGGTGTTTTTAAAATGACACTAATACCAACTAAAAGCAGCAACCATGTCCGGGGCACTAGGAAATTTTCTTTTGCCTTCACGTCATTAGAATCTGACTTTCATTCTCCAGAAAGAATGTGCTTAATGTGAAGTGATAAGAGCCTGAGCTAGCACCTTCCTGTCGGAAACACAGATCATGATCTCAGGCTCTCCTGAGTTTTCAGTTCCTTTCCTTTACTTGAATCCAGAAGTACTGCCCTCATTCCCTAACTGGCTAGTTTGTTCCTCCTCCCTCCCAAATTTAATTTGGTCTATCAGACATGGTAGATTCTTCTCATTAACCCATAGCTTTTGATGTTTGATGATATTTGAATACTGTGCTTTCATATAAATTGTTCTAAAACAAGCATTTTATAAAATCCTGAAAATAATTTAGATAGGTGCATACCAATTAATTATTATAAAACAAAGTATACTAGAAGCTTAATCCATACCCTGACTATAACTGACTTTGGAAATTCAAAGGAAAATCAGAACCTCTGACAGTATAAATACAAATTTGCTCAATATGAGAAAGTCCCTAAGCTTCCCAGCTGGTTTTTATGTCAACAGTATAATAACTAGTAGCTGTTCAATACCTAAAAGGCTCATCGGGTTTCTCACTCGTTTGAATGTAAATTAAAATGTTCAGTGCTTAAAACATTTTAGGAGAATGCTTCTGTCCATTTCAATCTTCACTGTCTCTGGGCCAGAAGTTCAAGACCTATTGTTTTAGATAAATACATTTACAAAGAAGAGCCAAACCTTCAAGTTGATATTAAAAATAAGCTATAACTTGAGAGAATTTATTTTTATCTTTTTACTATTAGGATGAATCAGGATGAGGCTACAGAACTGTAGGAAACAGAGGTATAATCATTTCCTGTTATTATTCAAGAAATTTACAAGGAAGTCAGTTTAAAAACGAGCGAATATGGTGAGAAATGTAACATAAGAAAGGAAAAAAGGATAGTGACAGGACAATGCAGTATAATTTAGGTAAAGTATCTTCTCTTGTCTACATGAAATTAATCCCTGGATATTTTAAACTACTGTTAGAAAAGAAACTGCTAAAACTAAAAAATTCCAAAAAATGTCTAGAATTTAATTAGTGATAAGGAGATAAAACGGATTAGAAAGAGAAATATTTTCACACTGCTAAACAGTCTGTATGACAACGTAACAAATCTACTCATTAACATTCCCTCTAGAAAGCTAAACCAACATATGAATAAGAGGTCTCTAAGAAAGCAACATTTGGATGTCATGGAAAATATGGCAGAGTTGGAGCACATATACATCAAACTTCAAGTCTTTTATTTCTTAATAACTCTTCTAAAAATGGAGTTAATATTTAAGGGAGGTAATATAATTTGCTTATTTTGGGTATGATTTAATCTCCTTTAAATATATGAAATGTTAAGGTTTGGGAATTTTATTAGTGAAATGGGGCCATTTTTCTCTTTCAGGGAACACATTCAAAAGTTAAATCAACTAGAAAATTAGATTTGATATGCATGTATTTGTTTTAATGCCAATTTTCTTTTGGCCACATTTCGCTACCGTGAACTGACATCCTACTGTGTAGAGAATTTTAAATTACAGCATAATGTTATACACCTAACGGTTGTACCATATCTCACAGAGTTTCTAGCAAGTAGCAGAACTACTATGGTTTCAGATTTCAAGAAATATGGAAGATAAAATGGTCCACATGAAAATTACAAGTTGATAATGGTTTACATAACCTCTCTATCCCTTTAAAATGTGAATATATACATACATCTTAGATTATAAAAACTGAACTATGCCATTGCAATACAGAGGGAAAATACATGACAAAATGATGAGGCAATAACTGGAAAATATGATTTTGAGGTATAATTATAAGAGATTTTTCTAATGTCATGGCTAAATAATTCCTACAACATGAAGCTCTGACTACAGAATACTTACTCAGATGGTTCTTTGATAATCTTATTTTTAGCTCCACAAACTCAATGAAAAAAAAAAGATTAAGAAAGCATTTGTATTAAGATACTGTTAGGCATCCACAAGGCATTAAATGGAAATATGTATGTTTTCTTTTATGTTTTCAATAAAGCATTAATACCAAGAAAAACACTGATCCCCAGAATAAGAAGGTCACAGGAAGCAATGAAGCTACCAAGACATCTGCTTGTTCACAGGAAGCTGACCCAGAGCTTATGCTGGACAGCACGCAGGAGAGCTCAGACACAGCAGCCTGCAAAATGTCTTGTGGGGCAAGGAGAGAAAGGCCTCGGCAGTACACTCCTGCTAGTGAAGGTGAAGGTATAGCAGATTTATTTTTTCCCCTCTCATGAACTTTTAGAAAGAACAGAGACAAAAATGCAGAAAAACATCTGGTCTAAAAAATGGAAAGTTAAGTACTGGAGTAACAATAATAATTTTAAATGAGAATGATGCAAATTGGATAGAGTATCCCCATGAAGACAAGCAAGTCCATGGTAAGTAAGACAAGCAGGTGCAGAACACCCGACGTCCACTTCAGTGCTTACCAAACTCTGTTTTACATACAACTTCCATGATTTACTCACACAGCTTTTGAACATCTGTTAAGTCCCCCTGGTGATGTGAGGAGAACATAAAAAGAGCTATCACTATACGCTTACATACAAATCAAGGAATAAAAACAGAGACTAAGTGAGTTGATTTTTTTAATCATCTGTATGAGATTAAACAATTTGCAGATGTGGATAATTAATACAGTCATGTTAGCAGAAAGGATGATTATCGTAAGTTTTATCCAATTGGTCAGAATGTAAAGTGAAAAGCTTCTTAAAAAGATGACTTTTCTACTGAGATGACGTTTGTGATTTTTGTACACTTTGTGTTCCCAGTGCCTGGTATACTGGCTGGAAAACAATAGGGACTCAAGTAAGTGCTTCTGGAATAAATCTGAGGAGTTGAGACTGCCTCATGTGAGCCTGGGACAAAGAAAACAGGAGTTATGAGGGACTCAGAGATAACAAGATGGGGCAAAAGGAAAAATCTCATACTGAGTAAAGAAATTCTGAGCTGTGCTAGCAGATATCAGCAACAATTGTCAGTCATACAATGGGTAACGAGGGCCAAACATGTTTGTGCAAATACAGTCCAAAAAATATACGGAAAGATTAGTTTTTAAGACATAAATCACCATTTTCTTTCTAGGTACATCACTGACCTTCTAAAAGAGTCTACAGAAAATCCTGAATTTTAAAAAAGCAAAAGCAAAATGAGAGGGCAACAGGAATGATGACTTTTCTTACCTGTTGGCAGTGGCATCTCTGGTTGAAATAATTCTGGATTAAATATTGTATGATTCATAGGATCCAAATGAAACATCTATAAAAAAAGAAAATTTGAATATTTCAATCATTATTTTTCCAACACTATTAAAATTTTGAACTGAAAACACCTAAAAATTACAGGGACAAAAACTAAAGCCAAAAACAAAAATCTGAAAATATTTCACAACAGGATTTTAAAAACATGCTCATGAGATCTAGCTGAGTTCTCATGTGTACAGAACTTTACGTGGGGTTGGGCAATGTTTTTGTGACAAAGGGATTCCAGAAGAATGAGCCAGCTACAAAGTCCACAGAGTTAAGGACCTGGTATAACTTGCTTACTGGTGCATCTTCAGGGCCCAGTGTATGTTTATCAGAGTGGATACTTCAATCTTCATTAAATGAGTAATTTAAAGCTTGGACTCTCTAGAAATATAAGCGTAAGAATCTAATCCTAGAAATCTATATTTCTTTTATGATACTAAATAACTCTTCCTCTAGCAACTCAACTCTTAAGTCCTGAAAGAAGGAGACAGCAGCCCTGGAACAATTTACAGAAAATCTGAAAATACGACTTACTCCAAGGAGCAGGTAATCGGGCACTGAGCTCCCACACTTGTTTTTTTCACATTTATCTACCTAACACAATGAAATCTGGAATTTAGTGGGTGTGGTAGGCTGAATAATGGCTCCCCCAAAGACATCCACATCCTAATCTCCAAAACCTGTGAATGCTATCTCATGTAGCAGAATGGATTCTGCAAATGTCATGAAGGTAAGAATACAGAGGTGGGGAGTAGCTTGAATTATCCAGTTGGGCCTGATAAGAGGGATGCAGGAGGTCAAAGTGGATGGTAGGAGATGTGACAATGGAAGCAAGAGGCTGGAGTGATGAAAGGATCACAAGCCAAGGAATGCAGGCGCCTCTAGAAGCTCAAAGAGGAAGAGAAAGCTTTCAGACAAAATGCAGCTCTGCCGACATCTTGATTTTTGACTTCTGACCTCCAGATTGTAAGAGAATAAATCAGTGTTTTTTATCAAGCTACTAAATTTGTGCTAATTTGTTATAGTAACACCAGAAAACTAACACAGTGGGCAAGCAATATATTTGGATTGAATTATATCCTATCTAGGTAAGTTACTAATAATTATTTTTCCCATGACAAATGTTTTCTTCCCACTTTGTTCACTTAGGATTTAAAATTCATTATTTCTGAGATTGATATTTCTTTCAACCTCAATAAGTCATCTGTGAAATGTCTGCGGACAGCACAGAAACCAAAACATATTTCATTTTTTATAATGTGCTAGTTAGTAAGTGTGCTGGAGCTGGTATTAAAAAAAAAACCAAACCAATATTTTACTCCTTTTCTTTATTAGTATATTATTGATGTTCTTGGGTACCTAAGAATCTAGTATGTCTAGCTAAGTCAAGAGTAAGAAACACAGTGTTTAAATAAAGAATGCTTCAGATCCAGTTGCGAGGTATGCAAATTTTCAATTGAGGAACAATAAATGTTCTCCACTTCAATGGTTAAGAGTAAACTTCATCTACGCTATTCACTGTTTGCTGAAAAGGAAATATAGGAATGAAAAAACATTATTATAAAAATAGCCCCACCTTACAGAGAGTATTCACCAGTCTCGGAGCAGAGAAGATGACCTGGCAGAAAAAAACCTTTCTTATGGTCCTGCAGGTAGCTAAAATGAGCACATACAGGGCAAAAGCTCTGATCTCAGGAGAGACCCACGCTCCCCTTCAGACAAGAAGAGAGAAGCTGTGCTGTGTGCCGCAGCTGGTACTGTGCATCAGGTCAGGGGTGGAAGGCAAATTCCAGAATACATTAAAACACTGAGGAACTCTCACTCAGGACACGTAAACTTCAGGAAATACATGCCATTAATTTGAGATAAGGGAAAAAAAACACCTTCAAGGATCTTTCCCTTCAAAAATGGAAATATCAGAACATACCCTACCCCCACTGCTGATGATCACAAAATGCCCACATAAGAAAAACTTTCGAAATGACTGTTTTTGGCAGCTTTTACTCTTATGTGGCATGAAGGACCATCTCTTGCTGATAGAATTTCCTGTGTGCAGACAGGAAAGCATGGTTTAAAATCAAGCAGACCAACTGTAATGTTGGTTAGAGTTTGCCTTTAATTGTTAGAGATAGTACATTAAAAGTGAAAGGTAAAACACAGGTTTTTGATAATGTGAGTAGCTAAATGTCTTTAATGCTGTAATCAAAGAAAATGTTCCCAGATTTATCCTATTTCACCATTTGTACACTAAAATTCAAAAGGAACATCTTAATGTGAAAAGCAATGCATACTCATTCTTTCTGAATCAATCAGAACGTTATCAAGGGTAATGAATGCTATATAAAGTCGATTTTATTTAAAGAAGCAATACTAGATCCCTTAAAAAGTATTTCACCTCTGGTTTTCTGACTGATTCTTTACATGTATAAACTTGGAAAATCCATTTTTTAGGTGTTGCTGTTAAAGTTTAAGTGTGAAATGATTACAAACCTTGGACCAGGGTGCCTTGGACCAGGGTGCCCAGGAAGACAAAGTGTTCCCTTTCCTCGTCTAGCCTAGCAAACTGTATCTTCTAAATTTCAGCTTATATAGACCTTCTTTGGAAAGTACTCCATAACCCAGCTCTTTATCCCAGGCGGCATGGGGTGATTCCTCTCAACGTTTCTGTCCCATTCTGTGCAGACTCCTACTGCAGCATGTATCAGCGTATGGAAACTGTTTTATGTCTTTGTCCCTCCGAATAGCAGCTTCCTGAGATTAGGGTCTATGTGCCACTCATTTTTGTACCCCTCCTTAGCCAATGTTCTGGTACATAGTAATGCCTCAATAAATAGCTGATGAATGAATAAATCTCAGTATTTTAAATACTTCTTGATATTTAATATTGCCATTGTAATTACCTTAGAATCTGAAAATTGCTTTCAAATGGTTCAATTTATACATGTACATATGTATATTTATATAAATCTTTTATATATATAAATATATATAAATCTCTCTCCCCCTCACCTTTTCCCCCTCTCCTCCTGCTCCTCTCCTCCATATATTTAAACCAATAAAGATCTGTTGGACTTTCAACATTTCTATAGGCTTGAAATCATTTAAAGTAAAAAGTTAGGAGAAAAAGAAAACAAGGACACTGGTTATCACTTCATAACTGCTCATACAATTATACTGAACCCTTTTATTCTCCCAAAACACAGTCGTTGACCATTAAATCTTTTCAACACCCCTGTGGGTGTGGCACTAGCATTTCTATTTCACAAATGGAAAAGTGAGGATCTGGGGGGCTAAGTGATTCCTCAGGTTTTAAGAACAGCCAGCACTTACATAAGGATATTTGAATTCTAAGTCCTTTTTACTATACAAACCTGGCTCCTCACTAGATGAGTTTTAAGTAAATACTTCATGTTCCCCCTAAAAATGGTATATTCAAGTCCTGATCCCTAATACCTGTGAATGTGACTTTACTTAGAAATAGGGTCTCTGCAGATGTAATCAAGTTAAGATGAGGTCATAATGAAGAGTGGGCCCTGCATCCAATAGCTGGTACCTTTATGCGAGAGAAGAGGGAGATGTGGATACAGAGACACAAAGGAGACACAGGGAAGGTGGCCACTGTGCCAGCATGATGTAGCAACAAGTCAAGAAACACCAAGGGCTGGCAGTAACCACCAGAAGCTAGGGAAGAGGCACAGAAGAGATTCTCCTTCAGAACTTCCAGAGGTAACCCACCCTGCCATCATCCTGATTTTGGACTTCTAGCCTCCAGAACTCAGAAAGAACACATCTCCGTTGTTTTAAGCCACCTAGTTTGCGGTAATTTGTCACAGCAGCCCTTGGACACTAATACAGTCATTGTCACTTGACCTGTAGCATACATAATTTTTATGCAACAATGTATGTGATAGCAGGTACAAGCTACTTGCTTTACATGGCATGTCCCCTCTGACCTTACACGTGGGGATACGAAAAACAATTTAAGAGAAAATTTTACTAACTTTAGAGTTTTCCTGATGGTTACTGTTGTTCCCTCTGTATATTATAAAACATGAATACATTTACAAAAAAGTATCAGTGAGATTATAATACTTACTTGTTCATGCCCTCCCAAATACGGGTCATCTTCCGCCATCCTGGAGCTGTACAGCAAAAGAACACAAAACCAAACTGTAACTCTGAAGTGAACCTTGAAAGTCCCACCATGCAGGGGTAAACTGTGTTATTCCAGTAAGACCAAACTGAACCCTTTTTAAAAGACCTTACGAGGAGGATTTGGTACAGTTCCTCTTTGGAATCTGAATCTAACAGCAGAAAGATTGCATAATCAAGGAATTACCACTCACGTATAACCCAAAACCCTTACGTCAATCTCCCAACAGTGTCCTGGAGTTTGGTACAACTAGCCTTCATCCTCTGTATAAAAAGCATGCATATTTGATTCTTAGAGGTGATTTCTTTATGTCACCATCTAGACTTCAATGATTCATTTAGCTTAGCTCCTTGTGGGCATTATTTTCCAACCCTTCCTGAATTCTGTGATGGTCCAAGAGCTGTCTCCCCACTTTTGAGCTGGAAGCTCAGAGGGGGTCATTCTGCTGTCAGAGGGCCTGGTCAGTGCTTTGCCTAGCACAAGGGGAGGACGGCTCTCATGCTCCATCCTCTAGACCATTCTGCTGCAGCAGGCTAGTTCCTACCATTGTCAGAGTGGGTACAGAAACACTGTCATTTGAAACATGCACTCAGAAGACACAAAAATAAAGGCTCTTATTATCAAAGCTACAGTCTCAGATTCACCCGACCTCAGCCAGGTACTAATACATCACAGGTCCTAGCAAGCTTCTGTTATCCAGAGGCCCTGAGAAAAGTGAAGAACCACATGGCCAGATAAAAACAGTACCTAAAATCACAAACGATTTTGGATTTACCCCTACTTTAAGAAATCTTTATATGTATAGGTTAATTTTAGTTAAGTTTACTTTGATCAAATTTTGGATGTGTTGCCTGAAAAATTAGAAGATAAAAAACAAGGCTGAGAGCAAATATTAATTCCTGAGGCCAAGTTTTCTTTCTTTCTTTTTTCTTTTTCTCTTAAAGTCTATAAAGGGACTGGGGCTGAGAATGTTGCTGTCCACCAAAATCTCTTATCTCCTGTTCCACAGTAATAGCACTATAGCTGGAAACATGACGGCTCAGCTGGACTATATCCCACACTTCCATGGTGTGAGGGATGGCCATTTGATGAAATGCTTGCCAGTGGGATGTCAGAACTACTGTGCACCACTTTCGGGTCTGGGATAAGGTCCTTGGCATGCTTCCTCCATGTTTCTGCTTCTTCTCTTTCCCGCTGTATGAAACCTAGACATGGAGAAGACCTACCTGGCTTCTGCCACCTACTGGATGATGAATGGCAGCTAACATTGATGTCACTTGCTTTACATGGCATGTGAGAAAGAAAGCAACTTCAGTGTATTGCTGGGTCTCTTTGCTAGAACAATTTAGCCCTCACTCTAATGGACACATCACTTAACACTCCAAAAAGAGTAAAATTCTCCAAAGAGGATTTTGATTTCCAATGAAAGCCTCTCCTGCTAGAGCCCCCTGTGACTGGTGTGGGTGAGAAAGGACCATGAGGGTTCCTAGTGGGATGCAGAGCCCAACTTCAACAAAAGGGGAAAGGGCAGCGCTGAGTCTTACGTGAACAAGAACTCCCTGCAGATTCGCAAGAAAATATTTGTCTAAAATAAGAAGCTACTAAGTGAAGACTTACAAACAGCTGTAATGAATTAAGACAAACAGTTAAAAAAAAAAGGAATATTGGCCTGATACAGTGAAGAAAAATCAAGTCATTCGAAATTCAAGAGTTCCGCCTTTGGATTTACGACTAACTCGCTGTGGCTTCTGTTTCCTCATCTGCAAAGTGAGAGATTTTGACTGGATGGAGCTTTAAAAGGAATAGAATTTTGTTGAGTTCAGAATGTTAGTTAGCTGATAAATGCTTATTCAAAGAACAAGTCACCTACATCGTAACTCTTTCTGTAAACTTGGATTTTATATGGACTTAGGTATATATCCATATTAAATAATTTCAGTTATATGAAGAATACTAGTAGATAGTGTCACACTGAAATACAGTGCTAATACCAGCCACAACACTCCATGTGAAAAATTCTTAATCTTAGAATACCACAGGAGCCCCAAAGAAAAATATTATGACTTTTTCATTTTTTGCCTTGAGGCCTTTCCATTAATGCAGGGTGATCACCCAAATCCTCTCAATCTTAGTCCACAGCCTTCAAAAGTGGAGGTGAGACTTAGGCCACAATCTCAAAAAATTGACAGAACCCATTCAGCACCTTTTACACGGATTTTATATACATACATACATACATACACACACACACACACACACACATATACACATACATACGCACAGGCATATATATGTAAAACCTGTGGATGGTTTTCTGACCTTTGAATGTATGAATTTAATATAAAGTGGCCCTGGCTCTAACTTTAAAAACTCAACTAAATCTACTTTATTAGAACTGATGCATGGTTATCACCATGATCACTCCGTAGTGAAAATCTTAATGAAGAGCTCTAAGTTGCAGGCACTGGACAGAATGCCTCATTAAACACTATCCTCCCTCCGACATCTTCCCTATGATTTATGGACAGATGTGTGCCAAAAGATCATAGTTTTAAAAGCCGAATGACAGCCCAAGAGATACGAGGTGATTGTTAAAATCTGAATTCGTACAGCCTTTGCAAGACAGTTCAGTGTGAAGAGCTGAAGTAACAGTAAGCCGAGAGTGATGCCAATGTTAATTCATAATTTAAAAATAAAATGTCAAATGAAACCAAGAATTATTTGGAAAGGATGAATCACTGAGTAATATTTGCATTAATTGTACGAGCAGGTTTGATGTCAAGATTTTGAAATACCAACTAAGCCCTTGGAACTGAAGGATTAAGAAAGACCAGGGAAAGCCCCTACTGCCCCCCTGCTCCCCCAGGCCTTCCCTTCACTTTCCTTTTGCACACAGTGCCGTGCTTTTGAGGAAGGATCTTGAAACAGAAAAGGAAGATACTGGGTTGACCAGTAAGAAGATGGGCCTAAGCTCTGCATCTCTCTCCCCTAACAGTGAGGCTTTCAGAAAAAATTTCACACCATGGAAAGGGAAGTAGTGTAGCTAGCTAGCAATAAATAAAACATCTCCCTCAGTGAACCATCTGTATTTTTTCACATGAGACACATAGTATAACCTGCTGAGTTCTGAATAATTTGATGAGTTCTACATGAAATACCTAATGGATTATTTTCCGCACATCTGTGACAATTCCACCGCTGACGTCAAAGGCTAGCACAGAGAGTTCTTAGTGAAGGCTGCAAGGCCAAGCCACCAGGTTGGACCACTGAGGTTGGAGTTGGTGGCAATCCCCTCCTTGTAACGGGGAAAATTTTCTAGGACCAGATATATTCACGCATCTTGACCCCACTGTAAGAAAATATATGCTATTAGATTTCGTTAAAAAATAACTTTTCAAACCCATTAAAATGATTTCATGACCTACTAATGGGTCATAGCATGCAGTTTGAAAAACAGAATTTTAGGTGCCATCCATAGGATGCAGCTGGGAATCAGAGAAACAAAGTGTTTTCATTTTCAAGTTTATTTTCAGCCACAACAGACATCACTTGGATGTAATTTTAATACCTCATCTTGGATGAAATCACAAGAGAAAGAGGAACTTACCACCATTTCTTTCTCTGTTGGATAATAAATTAATAGAGAGAAAGAATATGCTGGAGTCTCCTTCCATAGAGGAATTTTTGGAGGAAACGTGCTATAAGGTAGATGTAAATGTGTATTACATATAACGTGAAACATTCAAATAAGAATGTCTTTTGACTCTGCAATTCCACTTTCAAGGAATCAATATAAAGAATTATATGAGAAAGTGTGCAAAAAAAAATAAGTACAAGGATATTCACTGCAGCAAAAAACTGGGAACAATCTAAATGTCCTTTGACAGGAGATTGTTTATGCTACTTTCATACAGTTTTGTTGTAAAACTGTAAAAAACAATAATTCAGATCCACATATAGCAACATGGAGATTTTTACTCCCTAAGTTATAAATGTCTATGTTTTCATATTCTAACTAGTAATTGGAAATATATATTTTTTCATAGAAAAAAGAGAAAAATCAAACCCTGCCCTGAATTTAAAGTTTAACTCTGACATCTTTAATAATTAATGATATATAGTGAATAAAACATGAAGCATGAATGAATCAACAATTTCTAAGCACTACTGGAATCCTCTTCATAATTAAATAGAAAAAACTTGACTTTGAAGGGGCTGTTTACTTACATTTTTCTGATGATATATTGACTTAGTGATGATGAAAGAAAAGCTAATGGTGAGTTTAGTTACTTTTCTCAGAATAGTTGATTTTTTTAAAAGTTTTTAAAAAAGAACAAATTTATGTGTCCTACCATATTTAGATTTGTATAAACTCATTTTCAATGTTTTCCCAGTCCTCCATCCATTTTAACCTCCCTATTGTTTGATTTGGGTGCAATGTGACAAACTAACATGTAGAACAGCTACCTAGTAAGTACAAATACATTGTGCTTAGAGCTGTTCACAAGGGAATGTCAATCTAATACAACATTCAGCTGTTACTGCACGCAAAACTTACTTGCACAGTTAGTGATACATAGCAAATGCTAGCCCTTTCATTAGCTAGCACAGTAAACAATATGTTTATAATAAATTATGGGACTAACAGGCAGTCAAAGTTCTAGGCATTCTGAGAAGAATCAAGTATTTTTCTTTCTTTCCCATCCCACACTTATGGGTACACTGCCACAACTTCCTCCCTACCATTACCACTGCTGAATAAAATGCATTTTGCCTCCAGAGACATTTGGCAATGTCTGGAGATATTTTTATCTGTCACAACTGGCTGGTGGTCCTACTGGCATCTAGTGTGTAAAGGTTAGAGATGTTGTTAAACATCCTATAATGCAAGGACAGCCCCTCACATTAGAGAAATATCTGAACCCAAATGTCAGCAGTGCCAAGGACGAGAAACCCAGATGTGCACCACGACGTCCTGACAG